CGAGGCGGCAGGGGAGGGAAAGGGAAACACGGTGGTGAGGGTGTCCTCCTCCCCAGGCTGGCTCCAAGGAAGTCCCTGGCTGGTGCGGGGGGACACACAGTGCCCCCAAATGCACCAGCACCCGCCACATCCCGTACAAGCATCCCTGACCATGCTCATCTTCGCGGGAGACTGTAGATTAGAAAGTGAGGTGGTATGTAAAGAAGCTGAAATATCATCTGAAAAGGTGAAGTGGCACTGGAAAGCCAGGGAGGCAACTCACATTTCCCCCACAAAAGGGAAAAGCACATGGCAGGGAAGGGGCTTGCTCTCATGCCACCCAATATCAGCACCCAGCTGGCGTATTTAAGCACCCGAGCCATGCCAGCTGACCCGCCCCCCCCGGCACCCATCCTGTCCCCCCAGACCTCACCTTTGCGTCCCTGAAACACACGGCAAATATTTCTGCCCCGAATGCGGCGTTCTGCCCAAAACCAGCCGCTGCTAATCGGCCACATGCTCCCAGCGCTGCTCGAGCGGCTAATGTCCACTAAATGCACCTCTAATGCTCTTAGGCCAACTAAGCCGCCTGCAAATGAGCTTTCTTGGGGAGGGGGTGAGCAGAGGAGGGGGTTGTGGGCAAGCAGTTTCACCAGCGCTGGTGATGGATGTGCCCCCCTGCTCACTCATCCGCATCCCCATCACCGACAGCGCATCGCTCCCTATAAAGTACCCTGGCCTCACAACCTGGGGCTTCTTTACCTTCAAGGATGAAAATGGGAAGAATTAAAAAAGAAAATCAATTCCCACTGTGGAAATGCCAAAACCCAAGAGAGGATGGGCCCAGGGGGGAGGCGAGGGTGCTGCCAGCCCTGCTCGGAGACGAGGGAAACCCGGCGCTTCCCCGGGTCGTTACCCGCCTGACTCTTGTTTTGAAGCTGGTCCCTTCCCCGGGTCAGTGGCTGCTTAGCGCCGCATGGCCGGAGCCTCAAAATAGACCATAAGCACATAAGTAACCCGAGTCGGGCTGGCACGCGCCCCCTCACCTCTCCTCCTGATGCCCCAGTGCCCATCAACTTTCCCCTCCGCGTCATTTTATCCCCATACAACACGACAAGGTGGGAGCAGGGAGGTGTGCCGAGGACCGACTAGCTCATCACACCGCCCAGGTGCTGTTGCCGGGCTCCTCCGTGCCTGAGCATCATTTACAACCCGCTCACGGGCTCCTGCTTCGCCAGCCGTCCCCGGGAATGAAAAAATCAAATAACAAAAAAACAAGTAGCAAAAAATCAAATAGCAAAGGAAAAAAAAAGCCAGTCGAGGTGGCAAGGGGGAGCGGGGCTGCTCTCTTAAACATGCCCAGCTTGGCTGTTAAAATCATGGACTTTCCTGCTGGCAGGGCACTAATTATTTATTATTGGCAGCACGTGCAAGCCCTGGCGCTGCCCTGGCACAGAGTGCATCTCCGCGCCCATGGTTTTACAGCCGGGATTTTGGAAAGGAGTTTAGAGTGGGCTAGGAGCTGGGGAGGGCTCAGTGCTGAAATCCCCTTGAGTTTTGGCCCTTTCCCAGCTCCTAGCCCACTGGCTCCTTTCCCAGCTCCTCTGCAGACCCTCGTATGTCCCTGTCCCCCTGAGTTGCCCTGAACCCCCTTGTCAATCACGTCCCATCACTCCTGACTCATTATTTTTGCCCGTAAAAAAATCGGGTAATGCTACCCCAGAGCCAGGAGGAGATGGGACAGAACGAGCTCTGTGGTTTGCGATGGTGACTCATGGCTGAGCAGCGTCGAGCCGTGGGCTCCTTTGGCGAGGTTGTTTTTGGGTTTTTTTCAAAGGGTGCTGAAGAACAATAATAATCCACCCTGCAAGGATGCTCCGCAAAGTTCAAACCCTGCCTGGGCTGCAGGGGACGAGTGGGACATCCTGGGGGGCTTTTCCAGTCCCCATTGAGAAAGTCAGATTTTAGCAGCTGACGGAGGCTGGAAGCTCAGCTGAGGGATGGGAGCGAGGCGGCAGCTGCCTCCCAGAAGCATTTTAGGTCTGATTCAGAGCAGCTCAGCCCCCAGGCGATGCTGACCCCCCAGGGGCAGCTCACCCTCCCCAGCTGGATCACGGCAGCCGGGATCTTTGCTCAAAGCTTGCAACGCTCCTGCAAGATGGGATGGGGAACGTGCTCTCCCCCTGGGGCTCGCTGTGCTTTTCCAGCGATGTTCCCACCCATCACTTCGCTTGCGGGGTCTGCTCCCCCCCGAGATGAGCTCACCATGGCTGGGTAAGAAATGGTATTTCCGGAGGGTAATTTTGGACTGGTTTTAGCTATGTGGCTCCTACAAGACCAGCCACTGAGCTGCGGGCCAGCACGGCCACAAAAAGAGCCAGCAACCCAGTGAGTGAATGTTTCCCAAGAAAAACCTGCTGGCAATCCCTTCAGTAAGCTTCTTCCTTCCTTCTCCATTGACTTCAAGGAAAGAAGAGGATAAAACCCTCCAAAGGGAGGGGAGACGGGAGGTATGGGCAGCCACAGATGCCTGCTCAAAGGGAAGAGCTGCTGGGGAGGAGGTATTGCCCCAAGTCATCCCCTTGCAAACCCAGTTTCTCTGAAACAAAGGACCTGAGGATCTTCTGCTTTTCCTTTTAATGCCTTTGGCTCTTGGCTCTTTCAGCTTCCACCGCGTTTAATGACATCTTGCCTTCTGCCCCTTCGGGCTCGATGCACTAGCATGACAGGTGCTTGCAGTGCACAAGGAAAAGCAGCAAAAAATAACTTTTCCCCCTCCAAATAACCTCACACCCCATTTTAACCGGCTGCAGGGTCGTGTTAATACAAACCGTGCCCACGTTTAATCGTGTCCCGGATTAAACCCACCCACTGAGCAACCCCGTTGGGAGCCGCTGTGAGCACCAACGTCAGCATCGCACACCGGGAGCGGTAGCTTGCTCCCCATCATCATTCGACACACGATTCATGCTCCATCGGCGCTCTGGATACCATATAATTTTTTATTGGCTTGGGTGTGCTCGCTGCCAGTAACGGAGGTTCACTGGGAACCGCCTGTGTACGAGAACAGCGAGTGCTCCTTTCCCACAAGGTCTCCTCTCCAGTGGAAGCGTTTCAAGTATTTTGGCAATTGTATGTCCTGGCAATTCAGCCCCAAAGCCCATAAATCCCTAATGGATATTCAATCGCAAATCATCCCCAGCTCTGCAGGCTGCGATGCTGATCACCATATTAAGCATGGTAGAACAATGTAGAAAAGGGTATTTCAGCTAATATTAATAACCTGCCAAGTGAATAAATATCCTTCTGACTTGAGCACTACAGGGGATCTGGATGAAGCATGTGAGGATGCAGTAAGCAAGCCCTGGATGAAGATGCTCAGTGGTGCAGCACTGGCCTTTCAGGCTCAAACCCATCGAGGCGAAGCCCAATGAACAACCAGAGGAGCTGGGTACCCTGCTGCCACCGTCCCCCTGCTGTGCCCAAGGCCGGGGAGGGATGGGGGCCACCTCCCCGCAATGTGCCCATCGCTGCCACCCCAACATCTGCAAGCTCATCTCAAAGCTTCACCGGTGACGTTTGCCTTTGAATTTCTACAAGCATTAATTTTCTAGCTGGAGCGGTGTGACACGGCAGGCTTCTTCCTTGCAAAGCCATGAAAGACACACATACCATGCAAGCCGCAATGATGTTTTTCGCCACGATTGTGGAAGTTTGTGGTTCTTCCCAAAGAAGCTTTGCAGTCAAGAGCCCAGCCGAAGATCCAGGGCAAGCACACTCTGGCGTGGCAACTCCCCGTGGCAACGGGGACCTCCTGAGACGGGGACCACTGAGCCATCACCCCAAAGCAGAGGGGATCATGGGGCTCTCCTAATTATTCCTTTGCAGCATGGTGGCTCTACTACACACACCTTGGCTTTGTCCCAGCCGTCCAGGGACGGACCCTGCAATGGCAGGGATGGGGCTGCTCTTCCTTCCGGCACTTCGATGCAAAATAAAGGCCAGGTCTTCTTTGCTGTAGTTAACAAAAGGGCTTGGCTGGACTGGTGAGCAGATGCCAGACCTGACGACTATGCTGCTGGTACTCGGGCTAGCAGGACGCAGCTGGTGAAGTCAGTTTTTCCTAAGCACAGCAACTCCCCAAGCAAAGGAAAAGGAAGCTTTGCAGAGCCAAATTGTCACTCCACATGGGCTTTAGCAGCGGGACTTGGAACAAAGGCTCTTAACTCACCCAAACAATATGTATCTTACCCATATATAAATATAGCTATCTCCCGAGTGAGTATATCTCACGTTCAAAGTTCACCTTCAGAAAAATCTAACAAAACACCCATCTGTGTTACATTTGCTCGACCTCTCTCCTGGTTTCAGCCCACGTAGCAGGACACCGACTGGCCCCTTCCCCTTACGACTGATCAAGTCTGACTCTCTCTGCTTGCAATCCCACCTCACAATGAGCATTTCCATCACCCTGAAAACTGCATGCAAGTTTCTGAGTAGTCCCAATTATTACCATGTAGCAGTTCTGCACACATCTACCACTGCCACGTTACCACAGTGAGCAGGTCTACGAGGCTTGGTGGCATGCAAGAGGAGACCCACCAGCACCACCACCAGCACCACCGTGACCACCACCACCACTGCCATCAGCACCACCACCACCGCCACCACT